CGGTTTTTAATAATTCGCTCATGAAACTGAATAGATTGGGAGAAAAATTAAAATCAAAAAAATACTCCATAACTCAACGAGTTAGTCTCCATCGTCAGCCTTAAACAGATTTTCAAAGATTTGAGTTTGACAAACAGAAATGAAATGGAAGACAATGCTGAAAGCACATTGCAATGGCACAAAAAGACTGAGACTGTGACATGCCGCCTAACAACGACACAAGTTCAACGAGAACTTTCTTCCTTTAACATTACAATCAGAGCGGCGGAGTGGCATCGCAGATGACGTTCTCGCTCATTATAGTACGCCGGACAAAGCTGCTCTGGGTGGACATTTTACCACAAAAAAAAGTAATAATAAAAATAAAAAGAGCAAAACAAGCTAAGCGATGCAAATAATTTTGTGATTGTCTTAAACCTCAGTACATTCCACACATGGAAAGCCATTTTTATGCAAATTATGCAAGGAAGATTTGCATTACAGCGTGTCTAAATTTGGGGACTGAATCATAAAACTACGAAAAATTGTGCGATTTCGCAGAAAAAAAAAAATAGTAATGGTTTACATCGACATCGTAGTGTTAGACCAGTGTTGTTGTGCGAAGAACATCGTTACGTGTTTGTAGATCATTTTTATTTGTTTATTTTTCATGAACTCAACGAGATGGCATGAGAAAGGAGCGATAATCCCTCCAAACAAAACAATAATCCTGCGGTGATACATCAGCGGTTTGGAGAATCAAAGATTCAAGTTGTGATGCTTCCACTGAAGCCACGTGACAAACCAGACAAAGCTATTTCAAGCTGTTATGAAGAGAATGCGAGAAAATGACAAGCTCTTGGTAGATAAGCCCAGAATTAGGTTTGGAAACTTTCCTAAAAGCACAAATAGCAATGTCGAAATTAAGAAGGCCAAATAGCAACGAAATTAACAAGGCCAAGCGGAAATATTTCACTGAAGATCTAGAGCCCAGTAAATTAAATCCTTTAAAAACGTGACAATCGATTAACAATTTGTCCTCAAGACATCCAAACAAGGTAAAGAATATTTCGGAAATTAAAGTTAGGGAACAAACCATAACTGAACCTTCAGCGATTGCCGATTAATTAAATCTGCATTTATCAAGCATTGGTGAGAGTCTAGCTTCAGAAATACCGCCGTCTAACGTAGAACCTGAGTTCTTTCTCGAGCCAACTGAAACCACTTTTTCTATGAAAGTTCCAACAGTGAACGTAGTTCGCAAACTGTTATTGAACTGAATGAAGTCCAAGTAAACTTTAAAAAATGGCTGCCAACATAGACACACCATCGCTCGCACAAATATTTACAAAATCGATAAGCACTGGTAGCTTTCCAACTGAGTGGAAATTGGCAAGGATGACCCCTTTTTTCAAGAAAAGAAAAACGGATGACCCAAACAACAATCGGCCAATATCTATCATTTCGACAGTCGCAAAAGAATTTTATACGACCAGTTTTGCGAGTATTTTACTTTTAACAACTTGCTAACTCACTGCCTATCTGGATTCCGATCTTTACATAGTACACTTACTGCATTTATTGAAGCCACAAATAGCTGGTCGGTCAACACCGACAATGGTCTGGTTAAAGGTGTTATCTTTATCGATCTCAAAAAAGCCTTTGATACCATTGACCATAGCCTCCTTATACGGAAGCTTCATAAATATGGCATTGACACGAGTAGTCTGAAATGGTCTGAGTCACATCTCTACGACCGTAGCCAAAAAA